ACAGGAGCTTCGCTGGCTCACCTACCTGCTGACCGACCTTGGAGAGCCGCCTCGTTCTCCTCCAGTCCTGTACGTAGACAACAAGGCCATGCTGGCCTTGTGTCGAGAGCAGCGACTGGAGCACAGAACAAAGCACATTGCTCTCCGCTACTTCCTTGCTCGTGAGCTACAGCAACGTGGTCAGTTGCGGCTTGCGTACGTGGCCTCTGAGGCCAACACTGCTGATGTCTTCACCAAGGCACTTCCGCCTTGTGATCATCAGCGCTTCTGCACTCAGCTGGGTCTTGTGCCCGTCTTGCCTCACTTGCTCTCCTCTTGACCTTGCTTGTACTCTCACATATATATATACCTGCTCTTGCTTGTCTAGTTTTATATATATGTGTGTACTCTTGCATGTGAACTGGCCGTGTGGCCTTGACCCTGTGCTCGGACTGTGTGGTGACTTTGTGATCCACCCTGAGCTTGCTTTGCTTTACTTTGCTTGGCTGGTCTTGTGACCCCTTGTTCTCCCCCACTTTGCCTATGGGGGTGTGTCAGAACATTATAGCTTATGCTGTTGTGTAGGCTATAGTGGGGTATCCCATAGGGGGTACAACCAATTAGGGTTTCATATTTGTACTCACTTCATTTTCATAGTTCATCCATTCTTGCTCAAATCTTCTCACCTCGCATGCAACCGGTCAGAGGTCGACTTCGTTGCCGATCGTCCGCATAGCTACCACCTTGGTCGACGGCGACTGCGTTGAGCAAGGGCGAAGGTCGGTGCAGAGGACTCGTTCGGTGTAGCGTGCTCAACCGAGCACCTCCCTGGTCGTGGAGCTGAGCAGCATCTCGTCGCCGCCGCCCTGCAGCTGCACTCCGCTCTCCTTCAGTTGGCCAGCTGACAGCACGTTCGCCTGTACGCCCAGAACGTAGAGCACGTCGGGGATGAGGACCTGCTTCCCGGCCTCCCCTTGTAGAGCGACGGTTCCGCGACCCTTGACAGGCTGCAGCGCCCCATTGAATCCACGCACGTGCTTCACTCCGCCGCTCGGCGCCATGTCGACGAAGACCGCCTTGGTCCCCATCAGGTGGTGGGAGCACCCGCTGTCGAGAAGCACCGCCATCGGGTTGGCCTGCATCGCTGCCGCCACCGCCTGGAAGTCCTCGCCAGCCTCCAGTGCCAGCGAGACTGTCGGCTCCACCAAGCCGACCATCGAGCACGACGCCGCCCCGTCGCCTCGGCCCTTGCCACTGGAGCTGTCGACGTCCTTCGTCGACGACGTCTTCCTTGACGTCTGCTTCTCCTTGAGCGGCTTTGCATCTCGACGAGGGCGACAGCTGGTCGATCGGCCACGGCCTCCCTTGGTGTCGTCCTCGTCGCTGTCGTCGCGGTCGGGGCACTCTTAGGAAAGGTGGTCGGGGTCGTGGCAGATTTAGCACTCCTACCGTCGGCCACCACCTCCACGGGCATTGTCCCGCGTTGACCTCTTCTCGTCGACGTCCTTCGTCGACCGCCCACCTCCGCTACCACCTCTGCCCGGCTTCCCGCGCTGCCCTTGATGTTGATTCAGCCTTGTCGGTGCAGCGTAGTTTGCATGCGGAAGGAGCTCCGTGGGCTGTTCGGCCTCCTGCATCGCCTCATCTTGAAGGATGTAGCTGGGGATGGAGTCCTCGTCGAGGGACTCACGCGTGCCGGGCACCATCATCATCCTCTTCATGAGGTTGTAGCCGTGCGGCAGGCCCTTGACGATGTGGGTGATGTAGGACGCCGTCGAGTATTCGGCGCCCGCCATCCACATCTCAGCCAGGATCCGTCGAGCACGATTGCAGTAGTCCGTCGCCAACTCCTGCTCGCCCATCCGAATGTGTGTCATCTTCTACTCCAGCTGTCCGATGTACAGGTCGTCCTTCACCTGGTATGTCGACAGGATGAAGTGCCATGCCTAGTGACCAGCATCCAGTCGCTCTCGACAGCTCCTGAGCGCCAGCTGCACCACAGGCGAGCAGCACCTCGAGATGACCATGAAGGTGAGCAAGTGAGCCGCACGAAACTCCCCGCGCAGCTCGACATCGTCCACGGGCGGAATTGGCACTGTGTCGTCGGCGAAGCCCTTAAGCCTGGCGACCTCTAGCTGAGGTTCGATCGACTCCCTCCATGTGATAAGGTCTTGTTGACCTTGCAGCGGTGCGACGGTGATCCGGCGAGAACTTGAAGTAGCCGATACAATCCCGCCCGCCGTCACATGCGCCGTCGCCGAGAGCCCTCCACCGCTTCGTAGAGGAGAGCGACGTCGACCATCGACGTCAGCACACGAGCTGCCTGCAGCCGCCGTCAACTGCTGCACTCACGCCTAAATCCCATCGACACCACCGTCGACCTTCACTGCCGCTGACTCGTGCACCACCGTCGACCTCGTCGTCGACGCCACCTTCGTTTCGTACCGGTTGAGGAGATGCATGACGGGAAGGGTGTTCCGTCGCCCACTGCGACCGGATGCCTAACTCGATGATCAGCAAGGGGATCGTCCCGTACTCGCCATCCGCGTGGTGTTTCCTCGCATCAGCCAAGCGTGCCTCCAAGGTGTCCGCTACACCCACATCAGCTACGGGGTTGACCATGGTGACTATCGCTGCTACCGCCCTACGAACTACTTAGTAGGTGCAAAATTGGGCTCCTTTCTGAAGGTAATTTGCAGGGTTGTCCACGCTCACTGCACCATGCGGAGATTCACTCTACAATGGTAGTGAGCTAAACTATGGGGATTGGCACGAACTACTATGAGTGATCGTACCTTTGCTTAGTTCCTTAGTGCTTGCGCATACACGGGAGAAATCAGCAAAAGCTTCACTAGGCAAAGTTGGAATTACATAATGGTTGAACAAGCAATGACAGAATGACTACATCAGGCACCTAGCAACCCTGCAGCTAGCCTGGTCGACCGCCAGCACAGCTTGGTCGACCGCCTGCCAGCATTGCGTAGAGGAGTCGCGCCAGCGCTGCAGAAAGGCGACCTGCCAGCACTGCAGGTCGACGACGTGCCAACGTTGCAGCAGAGCGGCTGTCCGGCGTTGCCCCGTAGAAGACAGCAGTGCGCACGCTTGCAGGTGCGCGCAGACGATTGGCCCAACTTGCATTGATGTGAATCCATCGGCTGTTGTCTGCGCCTGACGAGCCACATTGGCATCGTGATACCAGCCCGAAGTCGCCTTCGCCATCGCGACCTCGACGACGTTCGCGTGCCTCCGCGGAACTCGTCGAGCAGGTTACCCGGTCGACCTGGACACCCCCACCAGGTCCCTTTGGTCGACCACCAGGTGCCCCTGGTTGACCATAGCTCCCATCGAGCTACCCCCTGGTCGACGGACCCCTTTCGTCGACCAGAACTGTCAGCTGTTGTCGCCGAGCTCCCCTCGTCGACCACTGCTCACTTGTCAGGTCAACAAACTACTCCGTCGACCTCCCGGTCGAACTGCAGGTCGACGGACTGCTCCGTCGACCTCTCGGTCGAACTCCCCCTCCTGGTCGACGCGCCCAGACCAGTCAGTTGCAGCTGTCGAGCTCACTGGTCGACAGCAACACCACAGCGGTCCCCTACAACTCGACGAAGCCTGTCAAGCAGCTCTCCCATTGTGAACGGTCGGCTGCTTCTCCCGTACATCCGACCATGTCGTCGGCGTTGCCCAAGCGAGGGCGGGGCCAACACTCCATTCCCGTTAACACGTTGCAGGGCCTGGCATGGGTGTTCCCTGCTGCATGGGTGGTCCCGGCTGTATGGCTTTGCCACATGTCATGCTGACTATGAGGTGCCTCAATATTAGTTTTTAGGCGCATAAGGCACCCTTCCCTTCATTGCTTACCCTCTTGCTGTCACTATGGTGACTTGCTCCCTCACCAACACGGTCCTTCAACCCAACAGCCTGATATTTCGCTCCCCCCCTCACCCTGTCCCCCCATCTTCCCTCCTCCATCGAGATTGCCGAAATGGTTACCCGACAACACCGTTTGTAGGCACCTCAGACTAGCCAGCACACCCCCTCTCCTTCCTTCCCTATTCTCCTGGTTGGTAGCAGATTGTTGGATATTGATCCAGCAGCAGGGCTTTCCTTTGCACGCATTATAGATATACTGGAGCAGATTCAAGCAGAGATGAGCCGCCCTGGCAAGAATTGAAACGCGAAGGCATCTGGCCCTGCATGTTGTACAGACTTGTTGTGATGTAATGTAAACCGTGTGAAATTCCAAATTTGTGCTCCTCGCAGTGTTTGGTGTAGCATTTTGTCTATGGCAGCAATGGTTGGTGAATAGTGCAAATTAAGAATTCACATACAGAATGAGCCGGAAGAATCTGCCGCAATCAATGACAGCTGGCATGCCCATATCAGGAATTTTTAGAGTGTCATATACTGAATATGCTGTACATGGAAACTTCTACAAAGTGTACCATAACTGTACAAGTAGTAACAAACTTCTCCTAAGCTGCACCCTTGAGCCATGAGTCCAGCTCAACGGCTACAAAGTATGCTGTACACGGAAACTCCAGAGTGTACCATAACTGCACACGTATAACAAAAGAATAAATGAATTAAAGATGGCCATCCTAAGCTGTACTTTCGAGCCACGACTGCAGCTCCTTTCGCACGTCAGCCGCTACGAAGTACGAAATGACTTTTGAGTCAACTCAAGAGTCAACTCGCTACAATGTCACCCTTAGCTGCACACACTAAGCTGCACACACTAAGCTGCACACACTAAGCTGCACACACTAAGCTGCACACACTAAGCTGCTCACACTAAGCTGCACACTAAGCTGCACACACTAAGCTGCACACACTAAGCTGCACACTAAGCTGCACACTAAGCTGCACACACTAAGCTGCACACTAAGTTGCAAACACTTAGCTGCACACACTAAGCTGCACCCTCGAGCCACAATTGCAGCTCCTTCCGCACGTCATTGGCTGCGAAGTCTGAAGTGACCTTTGAGTCTACTCAAAGGTCAAATCGCTACAGTGTCACACTAAGCTGCGCCCTCGAGCCACAATTGCAGCTCGTTTCGCACATCATCGGCTGCAAAGTCTGAAACTCGGATGGTGCTCGCTCCCCCCAGGAACTCTAACACTGCTGCAGGAATCACGGGCCCAGGCATCTCCTCCTGGGCCAAAGAACCACTCACTCCATCCCCTGCTACGGCTGGGAACGCTGCGAGCTGATCTGCATGAGGTTTGTGCATTGAAGGCATTGGTACGTTTATGTGGGCTTTGATCTGTTGCCGCTGGGATGTTTTCTGCACCGTGCTTGAACAAGGGATGGTCTGGTATACGAGTCGATTGGTTACACACCGAAGCTGCTGTCTGGAAAAATCTCCTTGTGTCAATCGTGCTGCCTGCATTTCCTGTGCTTCTTGTTCCGAACCTGCACCGCATTTCCCTTCCTGCATACCCCTATCATCCATCGCTGCTGCACTGGGTGAATTGCCGGTCAGCAGTGGCATTTGTGGGGTCCAGGGCTGAGCTGCTGCTGGCGCTGGCGTGTTAACAGCATAGTGCTGGAACTTGCTTGAGGAGCTGGGAGGATCTAGCTGCTGCTGCTGCTGCTGCTGCCGCCGCCGCTGCTGCCGCCGCCACTGCTGCTGCTGCTGCTGCTGCTCCTCCTGCACCACCTTAGAAGTATAAGCACGCAGAGGAAGGAAACGCTGATTCTTGCATTGAGATACGAAACCCCCACTGCCTGTTTTAAATTCTGTGTTGCAGCCGGTCAAGTTGTTGCTGCTCCACGCACACTCCATTCTCCCGGGTTCCACACGAGCACAGGCTTGGTCACTGGCTTGTGTATAGGCTCGGTCACAGGCTTGGGCACAAGCTTGTGCATAGGCTTGGTCACAGGCTTGATCAGTAGCTTGGGCACAGGCTTGGTCAGTGGCTCGAGCACAGGCTTGGACAGGGGGAGACAGCAGCGGTGAATACATTGCAGAGGCGGGGCGCTTTCGAAGATTCACGAGCGCACCAAGGCTGGTGGCTGCTAGGGGTTCTGAGGTGGCTGTTAGGGGTTCTGAGGTGGCTGCTAGGGGATCTGAGGCACACACAGTTGGGTACCTTTGCATCGACTCGGCATTCATTGCAGATAACGGTGCGTCCAAGGCAGAGGGTAAGAAACTCTGCCGTTTCACTTGCGTGTCACGGCGGGTGGCTGTTAGAGGGTCTGAGGCACACGTGGTTGGGACAGGTGGAAAAAGAAAGGGAGATTCAGGGAGAGTGAGAGGGAGAGTGGGAGGGAAATTGGGATCGAGAGTGGTAGGCAGAGTGCAAGGGAGAGTGGGAGGGATAGTGGAAGGGAGAGTGGAAGGGAGAGTGGAAGGGAGAGTGGAAGGGAGAGTGGAAGGGAGAGTGGAAGGGAGAGTGGAAGGGAGATTCGCGAAGAAGGTCTCAAGCATGGCTGAGGCAGAACCGTCTACACCAATGTTTGTGCATGCTCTGTTGTTGCTCTGTAAGGAGGAATCATTCAGCGACAGCAACAGCGTGGTCACTTGTTCCATCTGCTCTGACGGGTGCACTTGCTCTTGATGCTGCTGCTGCTGTTGCTGCTGCTGCTGCTGCTGCTGCTGCTGCTGCTGTTGCCCTTGCTCTTGCTGCTGCTGCTGCTGCTGCTGCTGCTGCTGCTGTTGTTGCCCTTGCTCTTGCTGCTGCTGCTGCTGCTGTTGCCCTTGCTCTTGCTGCTGCTGCTGCTGCTGCTGCTGTTGCCCTTGCTCTTGCTGCTGCTGCTGCCGCCGCCGCCGCTGCTGCTGCCACAGTTGCTGCAGCAGCATCACATCCGGCTGGGTATCAAAACCAGAAGCATCGGATCCAGCACAGCAGTCAGTCAGAGCAATGGCCATGCTGGGCCCCATTGGTGCTGCCATCCTCGCCTGTGAAAGACTGTGCACCGGCCCTCCCTCCCCATCTTTGAGGCGCCTCAAAAAGGGGTCATGCGCCGGCCCTCCCTCCCCATTGTAATGCAAATCACGACAGAAGCTCTCCCCATTGCCCACCACCACACCACCTGCGCTCTGCTCCTCCTCAACCCCCCCAACCTCTCTAAATTTCGGTGAAAGTTCTATGTGGTTGGTAGTGTGACACCGTGACAACTCTTGAATGCCTTGCTTCATAGGCGGAATTGACCCTTGCAGCAGAGAGTACATCTCATCCGTCGGATCTACCTCATCATCGAACAATTGACGGCTATCATCTATTCCCAGAATCTGACAGCCGCGAGCATCAGGCTGCATAGGAGCTATTTGTTGTAAAGTAGAGGTGAACGAGAATGGATGAAACTAGGTAGGAGGGGGATACAAGTAGGAAACCCTAACAAAGTTGTACCCCCTAAGGCTAAACCCACTATAGCCTACACAATTTAAACATATAATGTTTGACACACCCCCATAGGCTAAGTGGGAGACAACTAGATGGTCACAAGACCAGTCAAAGCAAAGCAAAGCAAGCTCAGGGTGGATCTCAAGGAAACCACACAAATTCTGAGCACAAGCAAGTGGTCACAAGACCAGTTCACATGCAGGTTGATAGTATAACAAGAGATACAGCGATCACAACCTAGCAAGAGTAAACATGCAGGTATATATATAGAGATCACATTACAAGCAGAGTCAAGAAGTAAGCAAGTGAGGCCCAGTAGGCACAAGGCCTAGAACAGTACAGAAGCGCTGATGGTCACAAGGCTGAAGCGCCTTGGTGAACACATCAGCAGTGTTGGCCCGAGTGGCCACGTAACGCAGACGAAGCTGACCGCGCTGCTGCAGCTCTCGAGCAAGGAAGTAGCGCAGAGCGATATGCTTCGTTCTGTGCTCCAGTCTGTGCTCCTCACACAAGGCAATGGCAGCCTTGTTGTCGACGTACAGCACTGGAGGAGAACGAGGCCGCTCTCCCAAGTCGGTCAGCAGGTAGGTGAGCCAGCGCAACTCCTGTGCAGCCATGGCTGTGGCGTAGATCTCAGCCTCACAACTGGAGCTGAGAACAGAAGACGAGCGTGTAGAACGCCAAGAAACTGAACCAGAGCCAAGGCTGAAGGTGTAACCCTGAGACGACCGCTGAGTAGCCTGGTCGTCAGCCCAAGACGCGTCTGAGTGCCCAGTGAGTACAACTCGGTCTCGTCCTCCAAGCACTAGCCCCATGCCCGACGTACTGCACAAGTAGCGCAACACCCTCTTAGCGGCATCCATGTGCTCCTTCCGGTGACGGCCAGGAGCGACATAGCGTGCAAGGATGCTAAGAGGGTATGCAAGGTCAGGTCGAGTGCAGGTCATCAGGTACATGAGGCAGCCCACAAGCTCTGGATACGGGCCACTCGGCTCTACGGACTCATCCGAAGGCAGAGCTGAGAGCGAGTGACCGGTAGGCAGAGGAGTGGGCTGAGGCGAGGAGTACGTGAAGCGGAAGCGCTGAAGGACCTGCTGCACCATGTGTGGCTGAGTCAAGGTGATGGTGCGCCGTGCTCTGTCCCGGGTGATCCGCAAGCCAAGATAGCTTGTCAGTTCACCCAGGTCTGTGCACGTGTGTCTCTTCTGCAGCTCCGACTTCACGTGGGCGAGTGCCGCAGTGTCAGCAGTGGCAAAGACCAAGTCGTCGACGTACACGAGGATGTAGAACGGCGGCAGCGAGGTGTCGGTGCGTAGAAACAGCGACGGGTCAGCAGTAGAAGGAGCGAACCCAAGAGCCGCAAGTGTAGTCCTCAGTGTGTCGTGCCACTCACGTGGCGCCTGTCGGAGACCGTAGACTGGCCGCCGGAGGCTCCACTGGGTACCAGGAGGGAACGACCCAGTGAAGCCAGGTGGGCGGCGCAGCCAGATCTCCTCGTGCAGGCTGCCCTGTAGGAAAGCAGTGCGGAAGTCAAGAGAGTGGAGCTCGTAGTCACGCTGAGCGGCGACGTGCAGCAGAACCCGAAGAGTGGTCATCTTCGGGGTCGGGGAGAAGGTCTGGAAGAAGTCAACTCCCTCTCGCTGACTGAAGCCTCGTGCAACGTAACGCGCCTTGAAGACAGGCGGAGAACCTGGCGGCCGCTTCACCCTGAAAATCCACATGCCACTGACGATGTTCGCCCCAGGTGGGGGAACCTCGTCGACGTAGGTGCCTGTGGACTTCCAGGAAGCCATCTCTGCGTCCATGGCTGTCTGCCACTGAGAGGAGTAGGGACCCTCTATCGCCTCTGCGTAAGAGCGCGGAGTCGGGATGTCTGGTGCATCCGGGTCTCCCTCAGGGGCAACTAGCATGGACACGAGATGAGGTAAAGCAGTGGCAAAGCACTCAAACTCCTCCTGCCTGTCCTCAAGGACGTCCGTGCCAAGAGCACACTCACCCCCGACGGACGGAGGAGAGACAGACTCAGACTCAGCAACTAGGCTAGCGGCGTAGTCTAGACGACAAGCGGCAGCAAAGTCGACAAGCTCAGCAACTAGGGCAGACGCAGCAGTGGACTCAAAGGAAGGGTCAGTGACAACAGTAGCCAGGAGATGCGTGACAGTAGGACTGGTAGCACGAAGGGAGTCAGACTCAGGGTCAGCAAGAGCAGGAAGAGAGGACGCAGGAGGAGACGGGAGAGGGACACGCTGAGGAGCAGTGGAAGGACGAAGCGCCATCTTGTGAGTGCCTGGGACAGCAGGAGGACGCTGACGCGGGACACGACGACCAGTGTGAGCAGCGCGAACAGGCGACGCTCGACGAGACTCAGGCGACGCAGGACGAGACTCAGGCTCACGACGCTCCGTAAGACCTCCAGTCGGACCAGTGTAAGGAGAAGGACCAGGGAGAGGGGAGGCAGACGGTAACTGTGACTGCGACTGGACAGACGGAGGACACTCTAAGGAGGGAGGAGGACAAGGAGGAGGAGGCTGACCAAGAACCTGCTGAAGGAGCGGAACGAAGTACGGCCGCGGCCGCGCAGCGTCTCCAGAACCAGCAGAGACACCAGCGCCAGGGTCGTCAGCACCAGCAGCAGCACCAACTCCAGGGTCCTCAGCACCAGCAGCAGCTCCAACTCCAGGGTCCGCAGCACCAGCAGCAGCTCCAACTCCAGGGTCTGCAGCACCAGCAGCAGCTCCAACGCCCGGGTCCGCAGCACCAGCCGCAGCTCCAACTCCAGGGTCCGCAGCACCAGCAGCACCTCCAGGAGTAGCAGTACCTCCAGCAGCTCCAACAGCAACAGCACCAGCAGCACCTCCAGCAACTCCAGCAGCACCAGCAGCACCACCAGTAGCAGCAGCACCTCCAGCAGCTCCAGCAGCTCCAGCACCAGCAGTACCTCCAGCAGCGCCAGCAGCACCGCCAGCAGCAGCACCTCCAGCAGCTCCAGCACCAGCAGCACCTCCACTAGCACCAGCAGCACCGCCAGCAGCAGCAGCACCTCCAGCTCCAGGGTCCGCGACACTAGGAGTGTCACTCCGGAGACTGCAGCGCCGTGCGTACCACTCTCGGAGCCGCTGGGGAGAGGGTAGCTCCCGCCTAGGAGGGGAAGCACTAGCCCCAGCTCCAGCAGTACTCCTAGCTCCAGAAGCACCTCTCCTGAGGCTGCAGTACTGTAAGTACCACTCACGCAGCTGCTGTGAGGAGAGAGCTCCTCCAGGTGTAGCACTCCCAGGCGCAGCACCTCCAGACTCAGCACCCCCAGACTCAGCACCCGCAGGCTCCGCACCCCCAGGCTCAGCACCCCCAGACTCCGAACCCCAGGCTCCGCACCCCCAGGCTCCGCACCCCCAGGCTCCGCACGCTCAGGCTCAGCACCATCAGCAGGACGAGAGTCGACAGCTACCTCGACAGGCTCAACCGGGTCTACCTGGGACACACCTGAGGGAGCGGCACCCTGAGGGGGGAGGGGGTCTACCACAGCAGCACATGGTGCGAGGAAGAGAGGCGGGGGGGGAAGCGGGGCAGTGCGGTAGGGGAAGAGGCGGTAGTAGGGGACGGACTCGTCGAACGTGACGTACTGAGAAGGCAGGACACTGCGCAAGGTGGGGTGGTAAAACTGCCAACCAGACGCGTCCGGGACAAAGCCAAGGAAGACACAAGGAACAGCGCGGGAGGAGAGCTTGTCCGCAGACGTATCGCGGACAAAAGCTCGAGATCCCCAGACCCGAAAGCGTGACGCATCGCCAACCTCTCCCGTCCAACGCAGTGTCGGCGAAGTCTCCGGAACGGAGACACGGGGCCAGAGGTTGAGCTGATGCGCAGCGTAGCGGACCGCAAACGGCCACAGAAAGTGGGGGGCAGCCGCATGGATCAAGGAGGTACGAGCGACCTCCATGACCAAGCCAATGCGGTGCTCAGCAACCCCATTCTGCTGTGGAGAGGCCGGAAGCGTGAACGACTGGCGAATGCCGTGCTCCGCATAGTAGGCTGCCAAGAGGTCGGAGGAGAACTCACCACCTCTGTCAGAGTGCAAGCGCAGGACAGGAAAGTCCGAGTGGAAACGCTCGCTGAGCTGGAGACGAGAAGCGCGGATCCAAGGGATCAAAACATCAGGGACCTCACCCTTGGTGCGCAAGGGGAAGACCGTGGTGTAGCGTGAGTAGTCGTCAACAACTATCAGGAAGTACCTCTCCTGACCCTGACCACGGACGCGGGCTGGGCCCCACACGTCCATGTGGAGCGTCTGCAAGGGAGCAGTCGTCGGGGGGAACGAGGAGGAGTGAGGAGCGGCGCGCTGCCGCCCCTCGACACAGGGAAGACAGGGAGGAGCAGGCGAGGGTGGGAGGGGAGGGAGAACCCTGGGAAGACCAGAGACAAGGTACCGTTTGTGCATGGCACGAAGGCGCTGAACGGACGGGTGACCAAGTCGGTGGTGCCAGAGGACGGTCTCGTGCGCCAGAGAGCGACACGAGCAGGGGGCCGACAGCTGACCTGACGCAGACGCAGACGCAGCTACCTGAGGGGACTCAGTGGTCAGTGTGTACAGGTCCGACCCCGGCTGCCGAGTGAAGGTAGCCAGGTGACGGCCCGTCCGAGCACACGTGCAGTGTGTCACGCGCTCGTAGGCAGGGGTGAACTGGTGAACACCCCCGTCCTGGAGCGCACAACCCGCCACCAAGTTCGTAGAGAACGAGGGGAGGTGGAGACCTGACAGTGTGCCCGACGGGACCGCAGGACAAGGAAGGACAGTGGA